ACATCAGCCCAGGGCCGGGCCTTTACGGGGAGGAGTGCATCGAGGCGGGCGTTACGTACTTTTGCTTGGCCTTCACCGAGAAGCACGCTCAGGCTGGGGCCGCGCACGGGCGCAATAAAATGGGGGCGAGAGGGTTAAGGGGGAAATTGCGACGAGCAGGAATGATGATCAGGAGTGGGGGATGAGGAGGAGGCGTAGGAATGTAGAGGACAAGGCGGGACGGCGGCCGAGGAGGAGCGGGGGGGGGGCGACGGGGCGGGTTCTCAGATGTAGCGAATCACCGAACGAGTCTCTGCCCGCTCAGGGCCCCCCAGCCTACCCCCATTCTCGGGAATAGGGTGGATGAGACTTTGGACTTGGCCTTCTCAAGTAGTTTGTTTGGTGATGGCTCAAATCTGGACCAATGGGATAGGTGGTGAACGGCGGTGACTGGTGATGCTGCTGATGATGCTCGTGATGATGGTGGTGATGATGATGATGGTGATGATGGCGACGATGGTGATGATGATGGCCCCCCTCCCCCTAGTGACGCCCCGCGCGCCCCCGCCAACTTATTCAGATCTCGTGTCCCTGAGCCCTTGGGGCGCTAGGCCATCTCGGTCGGGGCCAACCTGAGGCTTCGAGAGGTTATCTGGAGCGAGCGAGAAGGCACTTACTTGAGAACACTTGGAGCTGCGAGGAGCGGCCATGGAAAAACAACGATGATCTACGGCAGATTTCGGAAACCCTGAACCAGGAAACGTTGACGTCTCCTTTTACTTCCGCCGCCTTCCGCCGAGCTTCCGCCGGCTTCCGCCGGCGGTTCCGCCGCCGTTTTACTTCCGCCGCCTTCCGCCGCCCTTCCGCCGGGCTTCCGCCGAGGGCGGGGCGCGCCGAAGGCGAGGCCTTTTTTTGATATTTCCCGCCCCCCAGTGCTTGCAAGAGAAGTTCAAGTTGGCGGCGCTCCGCTGCGCGTGCAACGACAAGTGCTCGTTGCGCTACAACGCGAAGGCGGCGGGCGGGGCAGAATGGGCAGTGAGCGGGGGCAGCGATGGGGGCCAGGGCGGAGGCAGAGATGGATGAGAGTAGAGAGGGCGGGGAAGGGGATGGAAGACAAGGAGGAGGAGGAGGAGGCGGAGGAGGAGGGGGGGGGGGGGAGGAGGAGGAGGAGGGGCAGGGGGAGATGAGCAAGAGTAAGAGTAAGAGTAAGAGTCCCAGGACAGTAAGAGTAAGAGTAAGAGTAAAGGTAAGAGTAAGAATATGAGTAAGAGCAAGAGTAAGAGTCCCAGTAAGAGTAAGAAGAGCAAGAGTAAGAGTAAGAGTAAGAGCCCCAGGACAGTCTCTTGGCTGTTCGCCCGCAGGTCTCCGAGAGGCATTCGGGTGAATCGGACGCCTAACGGGAAGCCCCCTTCCCCTTCCTCCCCCCGCCCCGCCCTCCCCCCTTGCCCGCGTCCACCCCCATCGTCCTGCCGCTGCCGACGCCGCCGCCGCTCTCGCTCTCGCGGCTTTCCAGGCCGCCGCGCTCTTCCACGGCGACGCTGCTGCGGAGAACGACGACGAGAAGAAGAGGAGGAAGGACTCCGCTGAGGCGAAGAAGAAGGCAACCGCCGAGAAGAAGAAGAAATCGACCGAGGCTGAGGGAGACGAGGGCGACGATGGCGGCGAGCTGGGCGCGGGCGGCGAGGAGGAGGATGGCGGTGGCGAGGGCAGCGACTGGGATCTCTCTGACGCAGAGAAGTAAGCGCCTGGCTTGAGGCACGGCTGAAGGACGAAACTTCTGGACACGCTCGACGACGCCAGTTTCTGTTTCAAAATCGGCTTGGATTTCGCGCCCTGGAGCTCTCGCGCGGGATCCCAGGGTTCCCCGGCGCGCCTGGGCCATCCTGGGGGCCCCCGAGGCCCGAGGCGGCCTTCCAGATGGCGAACAAATTTTGTTCGCCATCTGGAGTGCTTATTTTGTTGGCCCAACTGGGATCCGAGGGTGCTTATTTTAAATGAGCACCCTCGGATCCCAGAGAGGAGTATCCAGCAGTTTTGTCCCCCGACGGCTGCTCGGGGCGGCCCCGTCGTCGCCGCGTCGCCCAGCGCGTCGTGGGCAGCGCGCCTGGCCAGGACAGCGCCGGCGACGGCGCTTCTCTTCCAGCGGGGGGCGGAGAAAACGACGGAGGAGGGGAGGGGGGGGGGCGGGGGGCAAGGCGGGCGGGGGGGGGCGGGCGGGGGGGGGCAGGAAGGGAAGGGACGGGATAACACGACTACTGACTGAGGAGGGGGGGACCAGGGGGAGAGGAGTCGCAGACAGCCAGGCGTTGGTATAATAATAAACTTCTGGGCACTTTCGCCAGGGCCGGCTTTCGGCCAAAATCGGTTTGGATTTCGTTCTCTGGAACTCTCGCGCCGACCCCGGGATTTCCCAGCGCGCCGGGGCCATCCGCGGAGCTCCCGAGGCCCAAAGCAGCTCTCCAGAGAGCGAAGAAGCACCCGCGGACCCCGAGGAGTGCCCAGAAGTTCTGGGCTCGGGCCGACGGCCCGGGCTCGGGCCGACGGCCCGATTGGCGACCGCGTGCGCATGACTGCATGCGGGCGTCGACGCTACCACACACAATTGCCACTCGTGCGCAACAAAAGACAAGAAGAAGAGAGACGGGGCCTGCTGGGCGATGCGCTCGGCGTTGTTCCAGTCGCCGTTGTTATTGTCGATGCCGTCTCTCTCATCTCTCCTCTCTCCCACCTCGCGCGCTCTCTCTATTCTGGTTGCAGATAGCTCTCTCTCTCTCTCTCTCTCTCTCTCTCTACATATCCCTCTCTCTTTATATAGTTATATATTCTCCATTATTTCCCACCTCTCTCTCAATTATACATGCATATATATATATATATATGTGTATATATATATATATACATATCTACATATATATTGCTATCCCTCGGTATTCCACCTCCCTTCCGCCATTTGTTTTACCCTCCCCCACTCCCCCCGTCGCTCGCTCGCCCTCTCTCTCTCTCTCTCTCTCTCTCTCTACCTTGCGCTGCGCGCGGGGTGCCCACAAGACATCGTTACTGTCCGCCGAAACTTCTACAGACACCACAAACGCTACATCCGCATGAACGGAGCGTACTCCAGGGACCTGGCCAGGACAAACGGTCACCTCCAGGGCAGCTCGTGGTCCCTGGATGACATCAAGCTGCTCATGTGCGTGTGGACAAAGAGGCAGCACCGATACGTTCCTCGATCACTCAGCACTACCTTCGTTGACGACAGCAACTCCACTACCCACGCCGCTCCTGAGCTGCAGAAATCTCTCGACGAAACCGCCAAGTTTGACCGATTCTCCGGTCAACGCATTCACCCTGGTAAAGTGGCAGGGTGGGCGCTCACCGATGAGCTGCACGCCGCCGTCACCCAGCTCACACTGGCGGATCGCCCCCTCCGAGTGGTCGATTCCTTCAAGCTCGTCGGGAGTTACATCAACGCCGAGGCAGCGCCGGCTCCAGCCGCGCTTAACCTCACGGCCACCGCAGACGCCCGTGTGCGGAGGGCGACTATCCGCCTGCCGCGCATTGGCAAGCTCCCGTCGCCGATGCTTATCAAGGCGCGGCACGCCCGATCCCTGGCCGCCAGCGTCTGCACCACGGGCACCGACATCCAAGCACCATCAGGCCCAGCCAAGACTGCCTACAACCACGCCCTCAAGGCGGCTATCCGCCCCAAGGGGAACAAGTGGGTCGAGTTCTGGACTCTCATGGCCGTGTGCGTGCCGGGACACGCCCTTGAGATCGACGCCATCACGCAGCGTGAAGCATTCCTGTGCCTGCGGCGTCAGGTTAACCGCGACGTCACACTCTGCGGGCTCGCCAGAGACCTCCAACACCACGTCCAGACCCTGTTTGGTGGAGGACCCGTCGGGCGACTCGTCCAGTCGCTCCAGCAGCTCCGATGGACCTGGCCCACATTTGGCATCATGTACGATGACTGGGGCTGCCCGATCAGCTGGCTGAATCTACCCCAAAACGCCTTCCTGCACATGCTGCGGGCCTCACAACGCAGGGCATTTCTGCGGAAGATCAAGCCACGGCGACACGACCTTGGCTACCTCGCCTCGGTCAGACAGGGCCTTGACCTCTTCGCCAGCACGTGGCTCGCGCGAACCAAAGGAGCAGCCAAATGCACTGCCTGGCAGCTGGCGCTCCTCCTGAACTACCTGTCGGGCGGGGACCACACCCAACAGCGACGATCCCGATCCAACACGTCGGCAGACCCCAGCCCCATGTGCCGCTACTGCGACGAGGAAGAGGAAACTCAGGAGCACACTGTCCGCGACTGTAAGTGCTGGGCCCGAGAAAGAGTTCCTCTCACCACCCTCATCAGTGACGACCAGTGGGCCCGTCTTCCGCCGCACACAAGACACTGCGGGCTCTTCGACGAAGACCCAGCCCTCCTCGACCTGCAGGCCGACCTCGCGAGGGACCCGCTGCCACAGCCCATCCCGCGGCCCCCCCCTGAGGGTGCAATGGTCCCGCTTAGAACCACTGCCCTGATAGCAATCCTGAATGATGCTACTCTCTTCTCTGCTCTGACAACGTGTCGAGGGCACCGTTGGCGGTGTTGAACTCGTCGCAAGACGGGTCGAATATGAGGGCAGTGACTGTGCGATGCTGATCGCACTATGGTGATGAACAGGATCTGTTTATCAGCGGGCAGTTCGCTGTCCTGCGTCTCTCAGACGCACACCAGAAGTCCAGCGTCGCTGAGACGCTGCAAAGGCTTGAGCCAGAACGGTTTCGGATGAACCTGTTCTGGGATATTATAATGGGGATCTCGAAGGATCTCGGAGGGCCTACTAAGCAAGGCTGGCTGCAACCTGGAGGCTAAAGGGGGCCCGATTCGCCGGGAAACGCTTGGCTAACATACATGGGGCTCCTTTGGAGCCTGAAGCTTATATCACGCACGGCCTCTAGAGGCCATCTGTCGTAAGTAGGCTCTAGTGAGGCAGGCTCGGGGCTGTGAATTGCATGCCCAAAAGCTAAAGATCGATGTTACGGCATCGAGACCTGCCTCTGGCAACTGAATTCACAGAAAGCACAGAGCGCGTGAGAGGCTTCACAGTGCCCCAAAGGGCTATATCTCCGGCAGGGGTCTCCTGCTCGTAGGGATTGTCGCGAGCGAAGTAGATCAGGGCCTCCAGCATAGCTTCATCGTCATCTGCTGATAACGGCTTGCCGTGGTCCAGCTTGTCCATGCCCTCGGTCTTGCGCTTCCTAGCACTGCGGTGCAGGGGGTCGTCCACGAGTCTCCAGCGCTGACCTGACCGGAAGAACTCCAGCAAGACCTTGGCGGCTCGATCCTCGGTGAGGCCGTCGGCTAGCATGGCATCGCTGTGGACCCAGCGTATCTGGAGGGCCGTCTGCTCCTTCTGCTGTCGAATGCCTAGACACTCGATGCTCGTCCGCTTATCGCGTAGGCCGAGACCAGCTGACTCGCTCTTCTCGATCGCGTCGTAGCCCGACTTACCGTCTGTGACCAGTACGCCAGGGCAGGATGAGATGGCGTCGTTCACGTGCTGCTTGTTGGTGTAGTCCACTTGGCCGCACTCCAGCTCGTAGATGAACAGGCGCACGTAGCTGATCTCGTCGAGGGTCTCTGTCATCATCTGAACCTCCGCACTCGTACTGCTTCTGGCCACTCGCGGTAGTTTGCATGATCTCCATGAGATAGGCGCTACCGTCTCTGTCGAGCCACTCAGGAAAGACAGTGGTGCCAGCACGATCATCTCGCCACCCTGGGACTCGCCAGTGATACGAGCGGCCCAGGCAGCATCGCCCCAGCCAACCACAGCGATCTGCTCGATGGCCGGGATGAGCATGACCACGTCGGCAGTGTCATTCATGGTGCGGATCAGCTTGTTGATCTTCTGGATGGTAGAGACCGTCGCCGTAGGTATCTCCGCTTGAAGTAGAGAGACTTCTGCACTGAGCCACGGGGCCGACTGCTGAGCTCGCCATCCGACTGTACCAAGTCGGCCTCGTAGATCTGATCTCTCCTTGTCTGAAACTCCTTCCGTGGGCTTGCGTCCACGTCGTATCTTGATGGGCTCCACGTTCAGGCTGTAGCTGTCCTGTGCGAGACTGCAGGTGTAGTCCTCATTCTGTCGAATACTGATGCCGCACTGCACAAACGCTCGGCTCTCCCAAGGTGTCCACTCGAAGGCCTGTTGTATCTCCTGTCGTTTCTTGAGGAAGGCCGAGTTGTGATGGTCGCCGGCGATCATCATGTCGTCGACGTGTAGGATAACCATGCCGACCAGCTTCGTGCCGTCTCGAATGACCCAGACGCACGGCTCGCACTGTATCACCTCCAGCTGCAGCGTCCTGAGCGTGTCCTTGAAATGGAGCCACCATTTGCGAGGAGCATGTACAAATCCGTACATAGGCTTGAGGAACTGCAGGACCTCGTCGTCTTTCATGCCGAAGGCCTGACGCACGTCCTTAGGCGGGTCCGCGTAGATCTTCCTCTTCTCCTCGTCCGTCTCGCCCTGGAGGAAGGCTGTCACTGCATCGGCCTTCTCCAGTTTCCACCTGTGTCTAGCTGCCATGGCCAGTAGAAGTTGACGTGCACGTCGGGAGGCAACTGGTGATTCTGTCCGCAGGTGCAGCAGGTCGGGGTCGCTGAAGCCGAGCACGACCAGTCTGGCTTTGCCTCGTAGCACGTTCCCCTGGTCATCCTTCTTCCAGGTCAGCACGAAGCGGCAGCGCAGCAGGCGCGCCGGGTCGATCCCCTGTCGGCTGAGGATCCTGACGGCCTTCGTGCTGAGGACTGAGGTGCACTCCTTCTGCTGGGCCTCGAGTAGCAGCTTCTTCTCCTCAGGCGTCGCCTTCTTAAATGAGACCTCCACTCGGCCCTTGCGGGCCTGCGATGCCACGAAGTTGCTGGGGTCGTCCATGTAGGCCATGAACGCATGCTCGTTGCTGACAGGGATGTCCAGCACGATGAGTTCGTCGTTCTCCTTCATATCGTCGTACTGCTGGACACTGTAGGCATAGTCGCTGTAGAAGTTACCCTCTTGCAGGTAGTAGGAGAAGGCCTCCTGGGTCGCAGCGTTGACCCGCTGCTTCTTAGCCGGGGGCTCGGTTGAGCCGGGCTCTCGGATCCGGCGCTTATCGTTCACGTCGGGCGCCGAGATATCGTCGAGGTCATCGTCAGTCTCCACCTCGATGGGCCGCTGCGACGCGCGCTCCTCCTGGTCGTCGCCGGGAGGGGCTTCCATGACGATCTCCTCCTCGATGGGCTGCTCAGCTTCTTCGGGTAGTCCAGCTTCGTGGCCGTCTTCCTGTGGAATGCCTGGTGGAACTTCTGGCTGAGCTGGCCGGATGAGAGGTTCCTGGACCTCGGTCGCCTCGTTCCAGGGATTACCCTTCTTCCGCATACGCTTGGGAGGTCGCGGTCCAGGTAGAGGTCGCTCTTCCAGTCCGGGTGGTGCCGCCAAGGCTCCACCACCTCCGCCGCCTCCTGGGTCAAGACTACGAGGGTCTCCTTGTGGAACAGGAAGATCATCGTCCTCAGAAATGGCCCAGGGTCCGCTCGCGTTGCTCTCGAAGGTGCGGGCGCTGACCGATTCACCGTCATCAGCGGCCAAATCCTCGCCAGTGGGCGGGGACTCGTTCGACAAGTCGATCACCTCGTTAGTGTCGAGCTGCTTCTGGACATCGCCGAAGGTCCAGGTCCCCGGCTGCTCGCGGCGCGAGCGTAGGGAGTCCATCGCCTCCTCAGAAGGCGTGGCAGGTCGAAGTTGTTCGGGAGCAACTCGGTAGAGGCGGCCAGCCAGTGTGATATTGACCACCGTCCCAGGTAGACCAGGTCGGTGTCCCGAGCTCGCTGGCTCGTGACAAAGTACTCGTCCAGGTCCGTACCAGCGTCCTCGCCCAGGCATTGAGCGAGGCTGTCTCTTCTTGCGCCAGGCCCCTGGTGGGAGCCGCCTGTAGACGAAAACCATATCGCCCGTCTCGTACTTCTTGAAGGACCTGAAGCGCGCGGCCTCCGCTCGCTTAACTCGGTCAGAGTTCTCGGTCTGGATGTGAGCCAGCCGCGCCATCCGTCGTACCTGGGCGTCCCTGCTGAAGGTACCGTCCTGCAGCTCGGCACTGATGAGCGGCAGGTTGTTTGGCTCGTCCGACAGGTTGACTGTCGTCCCAGTCGGCGTCCGTCCCGCGTAGCGCTGCAGCGGGCTGAACCCGTCGATCCTGATCAGGTCGTTCCTGGCCGCTGTCTGGAGTCCGAGCATCTCGCTGGTGGGTACTTCGGCTGAGACCATCTCGTCGAAAGCGTCGAGGGCCTCCTTGAAGGCTTCAATGGCGCGCTCGATCTTGCCGATCTGCCAGTGGGCGTCGGCCGCGCATGGGAGACAGTAGACTCCCTGGCCCTCGATCCACTCGCGGAACTCGTCGGAGATGGCGCTGCCGGCAGGGTCATAGCGCATGACCTTCGGGCGTCCCATCCAGGGGAACCATTTTGTAGCAAAGATATGCCGAAGGTCGCCGGCACGAACTTGTCGAGTCGTACCCGGGATCGGCTTCTCGTCGATCAGCCGCACGTAGAGGGTGTCCGAGCCGGCGTCGAGTATCGCCAGCGCCATCACGTTCGTGTTCGTGCTGCGACGGATCCACGAGAAAGCGTCGAAAAGCACCTCGTGACCGTTTTGGGGCTGCTCTGCTGATGAGGCTGGTGGCCGCTTAGTAGGTGGTCGATGTGCGTCGCAGATGTCGCACTTGAAGGTTCTGGCCAGACGTAGCACCTCTGGTCGAGCGCCACGGTCGCGAAGGTATCGTAGTAGATGAGCTCGAGGTAGGTGTCCGAGGTTGGTATGGACCAATCTGATGTAGCTCTCGAGCTTCTTGACCGTCTCGTTGGTGAGGTTGTGCGCTTCCTTGCCGTCTTGTGGTGGAAGAGACGGCTCGTCCTCCTCTGGCGTAGGCTCTGTCGGTGGCTGCTGGGTAGCTGCCATGCAGAGGCAGTTCACAACCTCGTCCTCGAAGTAGTTCTGGTTCTGGCTCTTGGTCAGAGCCCTGAGGATCCGGCGGCACAGCATCTTGGGGTAGGAGCCCGAGGCCTCGGTCCTCAAGCTGCTCTCTATCTCCTCGTGGTAGTGTCCTCCACGGCACTGTAGAGGTTGTAGGGCTACCCAGATCCTCCTGTCATTCGTCAGGAACTTCCAGCGCTTCTTCATGAGCTCGCCCGTGTCAGGGGCTCGTAGTCCGCAGGCGCAGCCATCCACGATCACCTCGCACGGTAGGATCTTGTGGAGATCCTTCCAGCAGGTCTTCTGCCACGACCGACTGTTGTGGGGCTGCTCGGCGAGGGCCGAGCCGTTCAGGTGGAGCACCTGGTGCTCGATGAGCCTCTTGTTGTTCTCGAAGATCCGCTGGCTCTTGAGCCGCTTCCTGCGAAGGTTCTCCTTCTGTTGATCGTTGCGCTGGTTGACGTTCTGCATTATCGACCATGGACCGCAGGGTGGTGTACTGACGAAGAGCTCCGGGCGCTTCTCGTCTAGCAGGAACTTCGCCTTGTGGTAGCCCTGCGGCTTGCTGAGGTCGTTCTCGTTGAAGAGGCCGAGCCGCTCGTAGTGGTAGCCCTTCTCGTCGCACACCTTCCCGATATTCGAGTCCTCGTGGGTGCACGCTTCGACCATCGTCAGGCGGCCGAAGGTTGCGAGGGCGCACATAGCTCCGAAAATGGCCGACCTCGTCGTATGTGTAGCTGCCCGTATCGCCTGGCGCTGGTGGCCCTTCAGCGGCCTGCTCTCGTCGCCGCGCCACCGAGACCTCTCGGCCTGAACCTCACTCAGGCCTTCGTCTTGACCGCACACGCCTGGTGGCACCAACCGTAGAGCCTCACCTTCACGATCGGCTCGTTCTTGGCGATGCATCGGCGTAGCTTGCAGTCCGGGTGCTGGCACATCTGAGTGTAGTGAGCTGAGATCGCCGGGCCCACGGGCATGGCCGTCGTCTCCATCTTCTTGGTATCCGTCTCCTTCTTGATCTTGATAGTCGCTGCCGCCGTGCCGCGCTGCTCGATGATGTACGCGATGATCTTGTCGATCACCTCCTCCTTCTTGCCAGTCTGGGTCAGTCCCCACATCTTGCACAGCGGCTTGAGATGGTTGACCAACGTGACCATGCTGAGCTGCTCGTGGATCTGCTCCGAGCTCAGCGCTGCAAACGCATCCACCTCCGCAAACTTGGTCAAGAAATCTGACTTTGCGGTCTCGATGGTGGCTCGCAGCTCTTGATTCTGCGCGCGCGCGGCTGCTGAGGCTGCTGACTTCTGGGACAGGGGGCGCTGCTTCGGCTCCGTGCACGGCTGGCACGGCTCGATCTTCGCACGATGCTCGATGTCCGCCGGCCAGGTCGGGTACCTCTCGGGTAGCAACTGCACAGGTAGTCCGAGGCTGTCCAGCTTCCAGTTCACACGGTCGATCGTCTTGATGAAGACCTTCTGGATGATTCGTCCCCAGCGACGGCACTGCGTCCACTGCTGGAGGAGCTTGCTGGACCACATCTCCCAGTTCGGTAGGTGCTCCTGCAGGAAGGTGTCCGTCATCCGCTTCATGCTGTTGTCCAGCTCCGAGCCCTCGATCGTGTAGAAGATGTGACCCCTCACGTCCTGATGAGCGATCAGTCGCCCCTGCGGCTGCATCCGTTGTAGTGTAGGCCTTGCCGGCGTCGACGTGAAGGTCGTCGCCGATGATCCCGAGTCCAGTAGCGGGGCCCGAACATCCACCTGCTCCCATGGGCCATCCATCTCCTCGTTCTCCAGCTTGATCTGCTGGCTCTCTGCTTTGCGACATTTCGCCTCGCGGTTGAGGCTCATGCGAATATGTAGGACAAACTGGATGTTGTCGGAGCTCAGGGCTCGAATATGGAAGAATAGCTGGTTGCTGAAATCGGAGCTCTGAGCTCGAATCGCTCGCACCAAAAATGGCTCTTGGAGACGGGGATGTTTCTGTTTGGAGCTCTGGAAACTCTGGGATCTCAGGGAAGGCCTCTGGAGATAACTCCGATAATGCCGTAGGTGATGGAGTCGGGGCTGATACGGATGATGTCCCTGACGTAAGTGATGATGTCCCCGACGTAATTGATGATGTCCCCGTACTTGTAAATGATGATGATGTTGCTGTAGGCGTAATTGGTGATGGTGCCCCCGTACTCGTAAATGATGATGATGTACCTGGGGCCTGTAGGGCTCCATTATCTGGGACCTCGTCGGGGAACTCCTGGGGCACCACTGCAGACGGTTTATCGTTCTCGCTTTTGATCGGCTGCTCTTTTTCATGTTTTCCCTCCGGCACCGTAGCAGTCTCGGGTGTCGAGGGCGTGGACCCCTACTCGAGAGATGCCACGAAGCCAAAATCGGCTTGTCGAACAAGTGGCAGTGCAAGATGACCGCTCGGAAGGACGAGCAGTTCGGCTCGGCGCCCGAGCTTCTTGAAGTAGACAGAATGCGCCTCGCAGTCGGTCACAGCTCCTAGGCGGCTCAAAACATCCACTCCGATCAAGAGCGGGGCATCTGCGTCGAGGATGTTTATCTCGAGCTCGCCGTCCACACCGGCGATCATAAGAGGGAAGGTTGCCTTGCCGGTGCAGGTCTTGGCGTTGCCATCTCCAAAGATAAAGGTACTCTTCTGGCTAACGTCCATCTTGATGTTTTTGCCCGTCTGCTCATAGATGATATCGCGTAGATTCTCGGCAGCCTCGATGCCCATGATGCTGGAGGTCGCGCCGATGTCCAGAATACCGAAGCCCTTGGAGGAGCTCTGCTTCACACTCATGAGGATCCAGTCGTCTAGCTTCTCCAGGGTTGGCCAGCTCGGTAGTTTCACATGATGGACTTGCTCTCGCCTCTCGATGGATTTCTCCACCTCCAGGTACATCGTCTTCTCGAGCTGTTTCTTCGGAAGCTTCGGTCGATTCTTGATCACTGGCTTATTGTTGAGCGTCGTCTCCAGCTCCAGGCGCGAGGTCTCGTCCCTGATGAGATTTGCCTCCATCTCGGCGTCCTGCTCGGCGCCGAAGAACACGTAGGCTCCGAAACCTCGCTTAGGTCGTTCACGATCTTTGCTGCTGGTGGAGGAAGCGCGGTCTCGGTGATCCTTAGTCTCGTGATTGCCGCCGCACTTCAGACAGGGTCCCTTACGGGGCGGCCGGCCCTGGGAGCGATCTCCATCACGTCGGGGTGGTACATCGCGTCGTTGTCCGCTCCCTCGGCCTCGTCCTTTCGATGATCCAGAGCCTCGGGATCCAGCTCGAGGTCCCTGGAACTTGCGCTGTCCTCCGCGTCCTTCTCGCTTCTTGTTCTCATCCACGGGGTAGAACTTCCTGGCGGTCTTCACTCGTCGGAGTAGATCTCGAGCTTCTTCGAAACTGCGCTGCTGGGCGGCGAACGCGGTCTCGGCCTCCTCGATCTCCTGGGCGCTGTAGAGCGGCTCCTCGGGATCTCCTTCGTCCTCGTCGCCGTCCGCGTCCTCATAGGTGGCCTCCGACTGGTCGCCATCGTAGTAGCTGTAGTCGTCGTCGTCCTCGCTGTTCTCCTCCCAGCCGGCATGGATCCGACCTCGCTCGCGATGGCGATGGTTGTCCTTGCCGTGCTTCTTATCTCTGTTCGTCAGCTCGTCATCTGGCCAAGATACTCGTAGCTGCTCGCCGATGCTGTCGTAGTCGAAGTTGCCTTTGACTGCGCTGATAACTGCCGCACGCTCCGTCGGGGAAAGTCTTGATCTCTGCAGCAGTAGCCATCCGCGCAGCTGGTCAAGAGGAATCGCCTGGTTGAAGTCGGTTCCGAAATCTGGATGCTCAGGGACTCCTCAAGTCCAGTCTTGGTGAAGTTCCAGAGCTGGTAGTTCAACTCCTTGGCCTTGTCGGCGGCGTCCTCCGGGCCCTCCTGCTCGATCTTGTACAAGAACCAGTTGAGCTCCGAGTAGAGGGTGTTCCACTCCTTTGACCTTTCCGACAGCCGGGCCGTGCGCTGCTTCTTGAAATACTCGGTGTCGAAACCCTTGACCACGTCGTGGTAGGCCTCATCGTCTCTGCTTATATAGCTCGGCATTGGCTCTCCAGTGTCTCGACGAAGATCGAAGATCCATCGGGCCAGATATTTGCCTGCATCCTGGATGGGCTGAGCTCCGAGCTTGGCACGAATGTGTCGCAGTAGCTCAGCTGCACCGTCGTCTCTCTCAATGCGGTCCCAGTCCACATCCTTGGCTGCTTGTCGTGCTCGACCTTCCAGTCGTCTCCACAAACGAGGGCCGCATACATATCGTTCATCTCGACGGGTTCCTCGGATGTAAGCTTTGACGTCTCTCTCGTAATCGTCCACCGTGGTGAGATCTCCGTTCCACTTCGGTACGATGTCATCGCTGTTATTGTTGTTCTTCGCCATGGCTCAAACGATGAACTTATATCCGTGAATCTGTAGTCCGTGGAGCTTGATAGCTCCGCTACCATGCAATGGTCCCGCTTAGAACCACTGCCCTGATAGCAATCCTGAATGATGCTACTCTCTTCTCTGCTCTGACAACGTGTCGAGGGTACCGTTGGCGGTGTTGAACTCGTCGCAAGACGGGTCGAATATGAGGGCAGTGACTGTGCGATGCTGATCGCACTATGGTGATGAACAGGATCTGTTTATCAGCGGGCAGTTCGCTGTCCTGCGTCTCTCGGACGCACACCAGAAGTCCAGCGTCGCTGAGACGCTGCAAAGGCTTGAGCCAGAACGGTTTCGGATGAACCTGTTCTGGGATATTATAATGGGGATCTCGAAGGATCTCGGAGGGCCTACTAAGCAAGGCTGGCTGCAACCTGGAGGCTAAAGGGGGCCCGATTCGCCGGGAAACGCTTGGCTAACATACATGGGGCTCCTTTGGAGCCTGAAGCTTATATCACGCACGGCCTCTAGAGGCCATCTGTCGTAAGTAGGCTCTAGTGAGGCAGGCTCGGGGCTGTGAATTGCAGAGGGTGATCCTGCGGCTTCAGCCCAGGACACCTACACCACCTACCTTGACAACGACACTGGATGGACATGGGTCTATGCTGCCACGGACGGTGCGTGCACCAACCAAGCCATCCCACTCCTAGCACGAGCGGGCTACGGCGTCTACTACGGCATCGACCACCGCATGAACTACAGTGCACGCGTTCACGGCCTAACGCAGAACGCCCAGGTTGCGGAGACCCTTGCCATCGTCCACCTTACGGCGTGTGCCGAACGGCCCGTGCACGTCTTCGTGGACAACCAGGCGGTGGTCGATGGGTTCCAAAGCATCATCGACGGACATCCAGCGCCGCAGGGCACGCACGCGGAGCTCTGGGCAATGATTCACCGATGTGTCATGGCCAAGCCCGACATGTTTCGCGTCGAAAAAGTCGCCAGCCACCTGGGAGACCTGGGCATCGACCTTGGGCTCATCGGGCCCATCGCGGAGGAGTTCAACCGTCAGGCCGACGCCCTTGCCACAGCGGCGGCACGCACGCACAACCTCCCCGACGACATCGTTGAAGCTGCCATAACCCGACATCGCCAAGCGACCGTGCTTCACGGGGTCGCTGTCGCCATCTACGAGCGCAGACACCGTACTCTGCCGCTCCCACACCGCAGGGCTGGGTTTACAGCGGCTGAACTCAGCAAAATGGAACCGAACCCCCTGCTGTCGGACCAGGCACCACCCGCGGCTGGACCAGACATCCCGCAGAACCCGGACGAGCTCTGGGCCGAGGCCCAACGGGCGATGTACGACGAACAGGAGGACGACCCGTTCGGCTTCGGCGGGGGACTAGACTTCCTGGACGACGGGCCAGCCAGCGCCAACCTTGCCCCGTCGGGCATCCGCACGACGCCCACCTCGACTCCGCCACCGAGAGCGGCACCGCACCCACATGATGACGTCGCTCACCTCCAAGACGCCGACGAGGACTTTTATGATCCCCTCGGATTGGGTGGCAGCATAGACGACGTCCCGCCGACACCCCACGCTGCCGACGATGCCGCTTCATCGAGTCGCCACCCGGTCACGCGGCCGACCTCTGAGCCCTCGCACGGCATCATGATTGGTCCCTCCGTGCCACCAACCCCGTCCCCCCACCAGCGCCAGCCCGCGGGGGCGGCTTCAGCCCCCCCGCAGGGCACTGAGCCAGTCAGGCCGTCGCGCCCCGTCCACGCTCCTACTGTTGCAGGCTGCGAGGCTGCGGCTCCTCCGTCCTCATGGGGCGTGGCCCCAGCGGCTTCAGCCCTGGGACCGCGCGACACCCTCCAGTCGCCTCGCCACGGCGACGGCCGCCAGCGCACGGACCGCCGCACCGCGCTGGTCCACCACCTGGCCAGGCGCACCGATGACCTCGCCCCCGCCGCGAGGCCCGCGGCCGCGGGCACAGAGCAGCCGCCCCGCACCGACCGCGAAGCCGAGCTGTCCCAGTCTACGGCCGCTCTCCAGCAGAGGTGCGCAGCTCTCGCCGCCGACCTTGCCGCTGCCCAAGCCCGTCAAGGCCCTTTGCTCCAGCGCCTCCACCGCGCCGGTCGTGCCTTCGCCGAGCTGCTTACACCCCCGCCCGATGGTGCTGCGCCGCCACTCACCCTCCATGCTATGCTGTCATCGCTCCGCGGCGCTCCGCCTGGAGCCCCGCGCTAATCTCCGCCATTCTGCCTGCCCGTGTGCACGCGTGGCCCCGCGTCCACGGTGTCAGGGCGTGGGGGCGGGGGGTGCCCCGTCCCTGCGCGCCGCGCTGCGGCCAAGCGCCCAACTGGCGGTCTGCCAAGCCGCCTAGCCACGTGTCCGCACGTCGCCTTTCTTGTTGGGGCCTTCTTCGTCACGCGGTCTGACACGTGAGATCTTCACAGTCTGTCCGCCGTCCGTAGCTTCAGACGCAATGCGCCGGGGGAGGGGGTCTGTTGCCCGCCCTCGTATCTTAAGGCTGCACCGCCGCTAATAGTGTTTTGCGGGTTGTCGCACCGCAGTGCGCCTCGCGGACGGACCCTGGTCCGCCTACTTGTCCGGTCTCTCTCTCTCTCTCTCTCTCTCTTTTCTCTCTAAGGGTCGGGCCACCCAGGACCCATATTGAAGGTGCCTCAGAGAGCCCGCCTCAGCCCTCCGAGGAAGCGCCTTCAGAGGCACCGCTCCCCTCTTCGCGTCGTATCTCTTTCTTGTTACCTCATGTCTGTTTTGGCAGCAGCACGCGCAAGCTCTCTGGTGTAGGGACACCCGTAGTCTTGCAGGGGGCGTGATTGTAGCGATGTACATGAGCATTCAGGGGTGTATGAGGACGTGTGCTGCCACGCAGCTTTCGGCTCATCGCTCGCGCCGCCCGCCAGGCCTCGCCATCATGCGGCGCCTCGCCTGCGGCCTGGCCCTCCCCTCGCTGGCTGGAGCACACCCGTCTTCAGGCGGTGCGCCCCAGCACGGAGGAGAGGCTTTCCTGCGACATGCGGAGCGTAGGACGTACTTCTACCTTTACGATGACAGCAGCTACAAATACGATCACAGCGCCATTTTGGACCCGATCGTGAACAGCACCGCCGCCGCTGGTCCGTGCGGCACCGGGCTGCTGGGCGCCCCCGCGAGCGCCTGGCCTGAGCAGCACCAGGGGCCCTGCCCCACGCGCTGCCCCCCTGGGACTTCGACGGCTACTACTATGCCTACGCCGAGTACCAGCACGTCTCCTACGAGCACGCCCTCGTCAACTACGACACATGCATCGCAGTCGACCGCCGATTTTGCCGCAGCTGAGCTGACTCCTGCGTCCTCCGGCCACGCCTCGCACCGCATGCAAGTTCAGCTACGAGGGCTACCATCACTCAATGCGACGCCTGCGGTCGACCGTCGTACAGCATATCCTCGATGGCACCCTGTCTTCAGCTTGTCCTCGACCGTCGTGCAGCATATCCTCGACAGGACCGCTGGCAAGGCCCAGGCACGCAGTGGCGGCTTCAGCCCCGCTGCAGTGCCCTGGCTGCCACCGCCCCCGCATGACGTACACGGCCTCACTACCAGCAACGCAGAGAGTCCCGCTTCCCCTCTGGGCGCCAGGGGTGAACCTGATGAGGAT